GGGGGGCGGAGGAGAGATCAGCCCCGGGCGGTGAAAGATGACTGGAGCGACGCGAGAAGGCGGAGTTCTTGCTCGGGAACATTTTGTTGGCCGCCCCCCGCTCCCTGGGAGGCCTGAAAGCATGAAGTGGCCAGGTGCGGGGAGGTCGCCGAGAGCTGGGGCGTCGTGGGTCCGGGCGCGGACAACCGGCGTCCGCTCTGTCTAGCGGGCCCGGTTTGTGTAGATCGTCGGCCATTTCGGCCCCCCCCCCCCTATTTCGGCTCGAAGCGCGGGCGAGGCCGCCGGGGCCGGGAGGGCCGGGGGATCGGTCGGCGTTCAGGTCACCTATCCCGGGGTTGGGTGTCGCCTCGCCCCGACGGCGTCCTTGCCGCCCCTAGATCGCCGGCAGCCGCCATTTCTTCCCCCCCCCCCCCCCCCCGCGGCCGGGCTCCTCCGAGCGCGCAAGGACGCCGGGAGAGCCGCGGGGAGGACGGGACTGACCACGGAGAACAGCTGGCGCCGGAGCTTGGAAGCCTGGATGCCAGGACCACACAAGTGCCAGACCGCAGGACTACGGGCGTGCGGGCGCCGGGCGAGCGAGGGTGTTAGGGGGCGTGGTGGCCGGGAGCCCGGGCGGGCATATTCATGCGCGAGCCCCACCCCAGGCTGCCCCGGGGTACATGGAGATCCTCGCTTGGCAATTGGGACGGCCAACCCCGGCCCCGGCCAGCCAGCGGAGGTGGAATATTGTTTGAAATTCCATGCACGCAGACACACTGGCGCGGGTCCCGGATGGAGCTCCGGCATTTAATCTTGTCTTTCGGCCCTCTTGCGCGCGCGCGCGCGCGCGCGTGTATGTGCGTGCATCTCTCTCCCTCCCTCTCTCTCTCTCTCTCTCTCTCTCTCTCTCTTCCTCGTCCTCTTCGTGTTTGTTTACGGGTGGATTGTTCACGGATTCGCCCTTAATGGCCGTCACTCGCGGGGGTGGGTATGGTGTGCGGGCGTGCGTGCGCACGCATGCGCGCATGCGCGCATGCATACGTGCATGCTGCCGCTCAAGTGGGCCCGCGCCAGAGCGGAATCTGGCCCCTCGCCCGCCAGAAAGACTTTCTCCTCCCCCTCCCTCTTCCCTCATTGTCTCCCTCCTTCCCTCTCTCTCTCTCTCCCCCCCCCGCTACTACATCCAATCTCCGCTTCCCCTACCCACGTTGCCCTCCTCTCCGGTGACCCCGCTTCCCTCCTCTGGTGCTGGTTGCCCCGCGCGTCGATCGCCGCCCCCTCCCCTCCCGGCGTACGTCCTTCCCCCCGCGGGGGCCGCTCCTCCTATCTCTGTCCTCGCGCCGTCGCCCGGCCCTGTTCCGTCGTCGCTGCCGCTGCCGTTGCCGCTCTCGCGTGCACGCAGCCCACTCGGTGCGAAGAAAGATCCCGCCTGCGCCGATTGTCGCCCCATATTTCCATCATCGCCTGTCTCACACCTGCTTCGCCCTGCTTCTGTGGCCCCATTTGCACGTCTCCCCCCTTCTCCTCTCTGCCCCGTCCTCCCTGTCCCAGCTCCCCGCACTTCAACATGACTTCGTCATCTGTGCCCAGCTCGGATCTCATCTCCTCCTCGTCGTCCTTCCACACGAGCGACATCTATTCCGACTCCGAGGACAGCGATGATTCCCTCGGGGACATTGTTCTTCCCCCGCCGGAGTTTGCATTCTGCCAGTCGGTCGCCCAGTCGCCGGGTGGCCTGGGCGGGTCTCCGGTCGCCGGATCCCCACGCCAAGCCTCCCCGGGCTCGCCGGTCGCCGGAACTCCCATGGCGGTGGCGACAGGCGTGGCTCCCGCATTGGAGGGGGCCCCGAGCCCCCTCTCGACCACCACCGCGGCCGATGAGGGACCCGTCACCCCTTCCCGTCGGACCCCGCTGAGCCAACCCATCCGAAAGAAGGACATTTCCTCTCCGACGGACTTTTCGTGCGTTCTCACCTGCCTTTCCTCTGGCAGTTGCCCCCCGCCTCCGCCTCCCCCTTCCTCCATCCATGCTCGTGGTTCACTCTTTCCCCTTCTAACATTCCGTTCTTCCTCTTCCTCTCCCTCTCTCTGCCACCCTCCCCCTTCTTGTTGTTCCCCCCCCCCTATGGCCCTTCCGCATGCAGTCATCCCTTCCACGCCACTTCCCTCGAAGACATGGAGCGCTTTGTGGCGGAACTTGCGGCCGAGGCCCAGCTGGTGACATCGCCCCCTCCGGCGACGACGCCCGGTGTGTCGGTTGCCCCCGAATCGGTGTCCCCCCCATCGCCAAGCGGCGTCCAAGACCCCGGCGCTCCCTCACACTCGGCGCCCCCGGGGTCCTCCTCCGCCTCGTCGCGCTTGGCACGGCTCTTCGGCCGATCGGCCTCCAAGATGAAGGAGGCTGTCTCCAAGTCGCCGGGGAGCCGATCGGCCTCGCCTTCCGGGTCTCCTTCCCTCTCCCGACAGTCGTCCGTTCGCGAGCCCCACGCCACTGGACGAAGCCCCGTCATCAACTCCTGTGATCCGGTGGGCAATCTGGTTGATTTGCCGGCCGCCTCCGGCGGCGGGCCCGGCCCCATGGCTGGGGGGGCCTCTTCCGACACCATCCCGCCTGCTGCCGAGACGGAGCCGCTCGAGCAGCATGAGCCGGTTCACCAGCAAATGGAGCAGCTATCGGTCAGCCAGCAGGCGCCGGAGCCGGCATCGGAGCAGCACGTCCAGCATGGCTGGGAGTTCTCGCGGTCCGATGCCGGGAGCGATGCCTCCCACTATTCGGAGATCGAGGATCTCTCCCAAGACCCCAGTACGTGTGCTTCACGCATGTCACTTCCCCGGACGCCCTCTCCTTGGCTGCCTTCCCTGACGCCTTCTGCCGGCTGATCCGCTCCGGCCCACGTCAGGCATCCCTCCCAATCTGATCGAAGCGCTGATGAAGTTCGATGAGTCGGAATTCTGGAACTCCGGCCGCACGCTGATCCCCTCGAACGAGCTCGAGGCCGGCGAGGCTGGCGAAGCCACCGCCGTGACATTGCGCCACCCGAGCGAGCGAACCGTCCAGCGTTCCCTCTCCACCAAGGTCTGGCTTGAGACATACTACGATTCGTTGCATCGAAGTGCGTGCCGCCCCTGGTCCCCCCTTTTTGCCGACGGCTCTTCCCGCTTCCGCTGCCATCCGGCACCCATCCTAATGGTCGTTTCCTTTCCTCCTCCCCCGTACGCGATCAGTCCGCATCGAGCGCAAGAACCGCCGGACCCGACTGGATGAGGAGCTCGACCGCATGGGTGCTTCAGACGAACTCCGCCGGCAGATGCATACTCGGTGCGCAGCCCCTGCCTTTCTCTTGCCTTTCTCCTGCCTTTCTCTTGCCTTTCTCCTGCCTTTCTCTTGCCTTTCTCTTGCCATTCTCTGGCCTTTCTCTTGCCTTTCTCTTGCCATTCTCTGGCCATTCTCTGGCCATTCTCTGGCCTTTCTCTGGCCTTTCTCTTGCCATTCTCTGGCCATTCTCTGGCCTCCCTCTGACTCCCCCTCCCCCCCCTCCTCCTCCGACCGTGCCACATGACAGCCTCTCTCGCAAGGAGACCGACTACATGCGTCTGCGTCGCCAGCGTGTCAAAACCGACTCCTTCGAAACCGTGCGAACCATCGGCCGAGGTGCTTTCGGGGTTGTGCAGCTGGTCCGCGAGCGGTCCTCCGGCAAGGTCTACGCCATGAAGCGCCTGGACAAGAAGGAGATGATCCGTCAGCATCAGGAAGGTATGTGGTTCACCCTTTGCCCGCATGCCCCCCTTTCTTGCTTCTCTGGCCCCCGGGTCTATCTTCGTTTCGGGTTGATCTCTGCCCATTCTGACGATTACCTTTGTGCTTTTGCGCGCCCGTGTGCGTGTGCGCGTGTGCGCGGACGGGCGGCCGGGCGGGCTCCCTTCCCTCTTTCCCCCCATTGGCTCCGTCCATACTTATGTCTCCCTGTATGGTCCGCCTTGCATACAGGTCACGTTCGTGCCGAGCGCGATCTACTTGCCGCGGCATCGGCTGCGGCCTCCAAATCCATCGTCCGTCTGTATCACTCTTTTCAGGATCGAGTGCGTGCCCATGTTTCTCCCTCGGCCCGTCTCTTCTACACTGGCCGTCCTGACGTTGTCTTTTTCGCCCCCCCCCCCCTTTTGTCGCAGGACAACCTCTATCTTGTGATGGATTACATGGCCGGCGGGGACTTGCTGAACCTCCTGATTCGCGTGGACGTTCTGCCCGAAGCGCAGGCACGTGTATACATGGCGGAGATGGCCCTGGCCATTGCCGAGGTCCACCGGCTGGGGTTCGTTCACCGGGACGTCAAGCCGGACAATTTTCTTTTCACATCCGACGGGCACCTGCGGATCTCGGACTTCGGTTTGTGCACCGGCTTCCACTGGGCCCATGATGCGCGCTTTTATGAACGCCAGCGCCGGCGCGCGTCGAACATCATTTCCGAGTCGGCCGGTCCCGGTCCTCTGCCCTCTTCGGCGTTGCACCCGGCGGCCGTGGACCGCACGCAAGCCGTGGCCGCGGCGGCCGCCACGACGGCCGCTCATCCCGGGGCCCTCCCCGGTGGCAAGGCCGGGCGCAACAATGACAGCGGGGACAAGGTCCTCTTCTTCCGCCGGCTGCAACGCCGAGCCATGGCCTTCTCCGTGGTCGGGACAAACAATTACATTGCCCCGGAGGTCCTGCTTCAGGTGGGCTACAACTTCGCCTGTGACTGGTGGTCCCTGGGGGTCATCCTCTTTGAGATGCTCTATGGCTATCCGCCCTTCTTCGCGCCGACGCGCTCCGAAACCAAGTCCAAGATTGTCCACTGGCGGCATCACCTGCGCATTCCCGCTGCATCGGTCCCCCCTCGCCGCCCGGGGACCACGGGCAAAAACCCCGAGGACCGGCTGCCCCCCTATCCCGTGTCGATGGCCGCGCGGAATCTAATTTCCCGATTGATTTGCGACCCACCAGACCGCCTTGCCCGGCTGGACGACATGCGTGTGCGTGCCTGGCCGCCTTCTCGTGTGCTTCCTGTCGACCTTCCTTCTGCATCGCTTACACCGTCTCCATTCGCCCCTGTGCGGGCTCTTTCTCTCTCTCTCTCTCTCTCTCTCCCCCTGCCCCCCTTCCATGGCCTCTGAATGTGGCAGTCACATCCCTTCTTTGCGGGCATCGACTGGGCCGCCGTTCGAGACCAACCAGCTCCCTGGCTGCCGGGCCTCGATAGCCCGACCGACACGCGGTACTTCGATGACTTCGGAGATGGGGATGTTGCCCCGGGGGCGACCATGATGAACCCCCCGCCGCCGGCGGCGGGGGCCCCTGTCAGCGTCGTCCCCGGTGGGCCGGCTGTCGGCATGGCGCCGCACATGGGGGCAGCCCCGGTGGCGCATCTTCTGCCGGCTGGTGCGCCGGTTCCTCTGACACATCATGTAATGCTCCCGGTGCCGGGGGCCCTTGTCCATGCTCCTGGTGGGGGTCCGCATCTTGTTCACCCGCAGTTGGGACAGCCCTTGCCGGCTGGCCCGGCGGCCGGGCCCGGGTATGTTTTCATGCCCCCCGGTCCCGGCGGAGGTGCCCCCCATCCGATGGTGCCCTTCCCCGGGGGGCCCGGCGTGATGGGTCAGCATATGTCACCGGATTTGTTGGCGGCGGCGGCGGCGGCGGCGGCGGCGGCCGGCGGCGGCGGTATTGCCGGCTCCACCTTGCCGCCCATGGGCGGGCCCGTCGCCTCGGTCGCTGCAGGCGCCGATGAGGGTGCCGGTTCTTCACTGGCAGTTCCCTCGGCTGGCCAGCCGGGCGGAGTGGCAACCGCCCCCATGGCCACTGGTGGTGGTGGTGGTGGCGGCGGCGGCGGCGGAAGCGGCGTTTTCACCGACACAACGGACGTCGACCAGTTTGCCTTCCACGGATTCACGCATATTGGCTTCTTCAACTTGACGCGTTTCTATGAGGCGGATGATGCGGAGTCCAGCCGCGGACGATCGGCCTCCGGGTCGGGCGATCGACCGATGGATCCCCTGCAGAAGGCCGTCCTGTCGAAGCTCATCAACGACCAAGTCATCACCTCGGAGAAGGTGCTTGGCTGGGAAGATGGCAGCAGCCCGGTCAGCGACAGTGGGAATGCCGGGACGGATTCCCCGGCAGCCAACTCACAATATTGACGATCAGCCGAGAGACGAGCCCCGGGGATCGGAGGGGGGAGGGCGCGGTAGCAAGCCACTTCCCCTCCTCTCCCTCCGCTCCCTCTGCTCCCTCCGCTCCCTCCGCTCCCTCCCCTCTTCATCACTCCTCTGGCGACATCTCTTTGTACACATGCGTCTTCTCCCCTCCCTCCCCCTACCTGTCGTTCCCGCTGGTTCGATGCGAGCGTACAGACATAGACACGGGCGCATGCCTTCTCTCCCGCTGCCCTTCCCTTCCTTCCCTTCCCTCCTCCCTCCCTCTTGTCGCCATCTCTCCTCTTCTTTTTAGTCATCTCTACTTCCTGTTGTGCTTTCCTGTGTGTGTTTCGCAGCGGGCGGACACGCCCCGCCGCGCCCAATGGATTATGCCATATAATTGCATTTCTGCCTCCCTCTATGGCGGTGGAAGGAGGCGAGGGCAGATACCTTGGTGTTGGGCAATGATCTTTATTCACCAGTCATTCCATCGTGTGTGTGTGTGTGTGTGCGTGTGCGTGTGTTCGCATGTGTGAGGGGTGGCGGGTGCCCGAACAGCAGAAAAGGGGGGCTTCTGTGGACATGGGACCCAGGCGGCGGGGGAAGCGCGGGCAAAGTCGCTTCTGCGAGAGATGCCCCGAGATCTGGGGGAGGAGACACGCACGCCCGTGTGGAAAATAGACACACACACACACCCATGTACTTATATATGTGTGTATGCGCGTGCCAGTGGAAAGCAAAGACCCTTCAGCCGCTGATGCGCGCAGCAGCCTGATCGAAGAGCTGGTCGAAGGTGGTCACCTGGCTTTCGGTGATTGTGGGCACGCCGGGGCCGGTGGCGGGGAAAGTCATCAATCCGCCGAGGAGCGGGTTCTTCGGGGCCACCTCACTCAGCGTCCTGATCGAGGTCGGAGCCAGGCCCGAGGCGCCAGTGGCGAGGCATTGGTCACAGGCAGGGGGGAAGAGAGGGGGGGGGAGGAGGTGGCGGTGGGGTGGCATGAGTGGCCATGTGGCTGGGGGAGCAAAAGATGCCTGAAACTGCCCGCCTTGTGTGGGCCCCGCGACACTTGCACGCACTTAAGGTACTCGTCCAGAGTGGCCTGCGGACGGCCCAAATGAGAGGCAACCACAAACAGGTTGGCCAGCGTGACCTCGTTGGTCGGGTCCTTTTTTTCCCCCCCCGGCACCAGCAGGGAGCATACACCGGGGACAGGTTAGATGAGGGCCACAATTTGGGGTGGGGTGGGGGGGGGGGGGGCCGCCATCCACCGAATACGTACCAGCTTCTGAGATTCGAGGAGAAGGTGCTCGGCATCGCGCAGATTCCCCTGAACCAGGTGCACCGTGGCCTGGGCGCAGAGGAGCTGTTCATGCGCGCGCGCGCGCGCCCAGGCGCGCAGGCGCAGCGTCCGGAGCCGGGCATACAGCAGGGGGACACGTCAGTAGGGCACACGTACACATACGATGTGGCCATGCGCAGATCCACACCCACACCGGCATGGGGACTCAGAGCACAGAGGGACCCATGCAAGGGCGGGCACAGGGTGGGGGGCATGGTACGCACCTTCGGGGTGGCCTGGAAGCGCTCGGTCAGCTCGCGCAGAGTGAAGAAGGCCGAGCGCTGGCTTTCCACGGAGGGCGGCGCACGAGCCACCAGGGTGACCCAAATCTCGGCCAGTTGGCGAATGATGGTTTCCTCGGAGTCGCTGAGGGACAAGTCATCGGCATGGGCTTGGACCTTCACCTCGGCCAGGGTGGCCCGAGCGGATTCCACCTGCCCGAGGCGCAGAAGCAGAACCACGGCCAGGGCGGCAGCCTCGGCGGTGGCCAGGCCGCCATCCTCCGAGGAGGTCCCCGGGTTCTCGGCGAACGGAGCCAGCAGCTCCCAGGCAGCTTCGGGGGAGCTCTGGCGCGAGGCAGCCAGTGTGGCGGCCAGCAGGCGCTCGGCGGTCTTCAGCGGCTGGGTGCTCTCGGGGCCGGGCACGACATTCGGGTTGCCCAGGGCTCCGAGGATGGGGTACTGACCAACGAGCTCCTGAGGGACAGGCTGTGCACACGGGCAAAAGGTCGAAGAGGGGCAGGCGGGGGGGGGGGGGGGGGGGGGGGGAAGTGGCAAATGTCAGGAAACCGCGAGCCACACTCGGCGATCGGGGTGCGCAGTTAATTGCCCGAAAGCAGGAAGAGCAGGCGGAGGCGCACGCTGCCGGAGGCGGCAATAGCCCGACCAGTGAGGATATCACGCGTGGCCGCCAGGGGCGAGGTCCCGGGCAACACGGCCAGGCGCTTGGCATAGGTCAAGGCCTCGCGGGTGTCCCCGAGGTAAAACTGGTCGGCCAGGAGGCGGAGCTGGATTTGCCCTGACATTGTTTGTGTGGACGTGCGGCAAGGCGGGCGGAGGGGCGGCGAGGGGGAGAAAAGAAGGGAGGGAGAGAGGAGGCAAGATGGGCGTGCAGATGTGTGAGAAGGGGGGAGGGGGGGGGGGCAAGCTGTTGGAAGCACCCCACCTCCCGGAGCTCAGTGTTGGACACTTTTGATGGTATTGAAGGCCCCAAGGGGGGCGGGATCCGCGCAGCTTCTCCGAAGCGCGTGCGACCGCTTCCCCGGCCAATTCCTGGAGAGAGGACGGCCGTGCGCATTGCCCTCAGTGCTCCGGGCAAAGGCGAGGCCAAAGGGGGGAGGGGGGCAGGGGTCGAACAAAGGGCACACAGCCCACCGAAGGGGCTCTTGCTCGGCGGGGTCACTACCAACGCATCTTCCTGGCGGCCTGGCAGTGGCCGATGTCGGCGAAATGCGCCAGTGACAGTTCTGCCCTCCCTGCCTTGGCGGGCGGCCTGCCTGCGCGGCGGGGGGTCCCTTGACGGAGCTCCCCGAAGAGGGTCCTAGGATAAATGCCCAGAGGCGGCTTCCCCACCCAAGTCAGGCTCCTGTGGCTCAGTAGGTAGAGCGTGGGACTGTTAATCCCAAGGTCCGCGGTTCGATCCCGTGCGGGAGCGCCACCATTCTTTTTGAATGGTGACGCCCATTTTATTATCGCCGGGCCCCACACCGGCCGCCGTCGCCCCGTCGTGGAGTGTGCCGGCGCAAGTTGTGCGTGCGTGCGTGCGTGCGTGCCTGCGTGCGCATGTCGTGGGGAGGAGGACGCGAGAGCGCACACCTTGGCCGGTGTGCCTGGCTGTGGGCACAAAAACAAAAACAAACAAAAAACAAAAGCCGAAAGCACGGCCAGGATCAATGGCTCAGGTGTATTTTTTTGTTTCCAGCCTGCCACGGCAGGGCAAGGGGCCCGGGGGCTTTACCGGCCGGTCCGTGCGGCGACCGCCCCGCGGAACTGCCGGAGACTGTACCGAAGCACGCGCACCATGATCATCACCACCACGGCCATGATGAACAGGTAGAGGAGCGACGAAAAGAGGGCAACCATGCCGGTAAGGGTCCAGTGCCGATAGTGGGGGATCAGCACGGCCGCCGGGACAAAGCGCGGCTGGAAGACGGCCACCGCCTCTGGGTGCCCGGCTGCTGCGGCCAAAAGACGCTCCGCGTGCGGCAGCCACCAGGCAGCCACCGCGGCCGGCACACCGGCCCAAGCCACCGGGCTGAGGGGCCTGCTGCCCGGCGCCAGGGTGGCACTGTTGGTGGCCGAGGTGCCCGCCGGCGCGGGGTACATCGAATCAAAGTGCCGGAGCATGGCCTCGGTCAGGGTGGCATTCTGGCGCTCGGCCCAGTCACGCACCAGCATGGTATCATGCTCGGTCGCATGGGCCGGGAGGATTACCCGGCCGGAGCTCAGGGCCAGATGGCCGCCCACCGAGCGATCGGTTTGCTCGCACATGCCCAGCAGTCCGGCCATGGCCCCGGCGCGAGCGAGATACGCATTGGCCAGGTCCAGGTCCCGGCATGAGAGGACACCGTAGTCGGCCTGCAAAAAGAGAGCCGGCCGAGGAAGGGGCGGGCAGAGGGGGAGGGGGAGGGGGAATGTCGCCCATGATGGGGAGAGGCGTCAGAATGGGGCATCCGGGGTGGAGAAGGCGCGCACAGGGCAAGCATGTGGGCGTCGGCTTGCCGGCGTACCAGCCCAGCGCCGACGGCGAAGATTGGCGCCAGACGGTGGCCATGCACCGAGGACGAGGCAACTGCTCGGGTGGTCACCGGCAGGGGAACATCCTCATCCGGGTAGGAGGCCGCCTCGCGCGGCGGGAAGACGGTCGGCGGCGATACCGGCACCCGGCCGAGGGAGGTAGGCTGGCCGAAGATTTGGTCGGCCAGCAGCTGGTGTGCCGAGCCACTCTGCGATGCGAAGACCACCGGCCGGTGGAGAGCCCGGGCCCGGTCATCGGGGGTGAAGCCACTCAGCAGGATGGGCCCCTTGCGCGTGGTGTACGGCACGAAGCCCGGGACAGCAATCTTCCGGGCGCTGGAAGGAGAGGCGGACGGGGGAACAGGGGACACAGGCCGAAGTTCATGTCAGTCGGACGGTCGATGGGGGGGGGGGGGGGGGGG